AATTTTTTATATATGCATTGCATTCCTTGCTTTGTCCATGTGCCTCCATTTTATATAACTAATTTCCTTTGGAACTTTGAACTGCATTTAAACCAACCTTGAAACTTAATGGCAACTACAAAGAATTTCAGTTTTTCCCCCTAAATGTTTAAGTTGGAGTTAAAAAATGAAATAAAAAACTGTAAATTTGGTCTGTCAAACAATCCATAAAGGACAGCTAAAGATCAATCTTGTTGACTTTGGTACAAGATCATATTATTAGAAACACATGCTGACTATGCTATAGCACAAATTGTGCTAACAATAGTTTCTTAAATAATGTTTCATTTATTTTGTTGACAAAATATGAGTTAGCAGTGAACTATAAACATGTAATGTAGGTAACATATTCATAAAAAGTTTTTACATATACACACCTTCCCACAGAACAAATCACTTTACAGGTGTAGCATGGTGTTCTGTTGAAGTTCTCAAGGTCATACAATACAATAGAACCGTCAGAACCACCTGATAACATACTGTAAGAAAACAAGTTATGAATCAATTCAGATGTTGTAAGCTTTACTCCTCCCCACCAAACATGTAATGTTATCTTTTAAAAATTGTTGAAAATTAGTTTTTTACTATATTCTAAATACTAGAATACTAGAACATTTTAATTAATATAAAATTAATATATATTATTTTTGATATATAATAACATATTCATTTCAACTTGATTTCTTGTTTTAGAATACCATTTTATGTGCTATGTCAACTCCCCTCCAAATAAAAAATATTTAGACTGAAATATCTGAATAATGATTTTATAATAAAGGGTTCTTGATATAGTTTAAAAATTGTTTTAAAACAAAACAATTTTTTAAGAAATTTTTATTCAGATATCTGCAAATATTTTAAGGCACACAATTTTTCATACTTGTCATGTTCACATGACATGCTAAAACAGTGAATCGGGTAAAGAAATTATGGGTGTACTACATCCCTGCCCAGAACTGCTCCTGGGCCAATCCTATGCAGACCTTTATCTTCGTTTCAAGTTTACCTAAGCCTTGATGTTCTGTCCAAATATGGAGTAGCAATTATTTCCGTTAAATTGACTGTCTCTCTGATTTGGAAATGGCTCGGTTAATGCTTATTTTGTTATCTGCCCAGATTCCATTTTCACTAGCCAGACAAAAAACTAACCACAACTAATTTTGTACTGATCCTTCTAGGTGTTGGCACATACCCATACAGTAAGTAATAAATAAGCTACCAACACAAGAATGCTTAGAAAATGCACCCAGGGCTGTTTGAGTGGAACATATGGGATTAATCAAAAGGACCTCTGAACAAAAGTAGTAGCAATAACACTTAGACTTACATACCACTTCATAGTGTGTGTTTTGTGTGTGTGTGTACGTACCGAAACAAAATAAATATACAGGATATCATGGATTCATGAAATTTGAGAAAATGCTTCTAATGACAAAAAAGTTAGCATGAATTTAAAAATGCAAATATTTTCAAATTTGTTCAGTAAAATACATTTCATTACAAAGCATAATAAATATACATACTATCGATTTTCAACAGGTTCAATATCCAAGGTATTAATTCCACTTCCATGAATTCTTTCAACATCTTTGTTCTTATTTAACTCCAAGCTTAATACCCTTTAAAAAAGGAAGTATTGTAAACAAAATTAAAATTATATATTTGTTACTGAAATGCCATCAAATTCTTCAATCCACTACATTGACCAAGGTTCTATCTGTATTGATGGAGGAAATAGCATATTACACATACTAATATGTATCTGAAATTTATATGAATTACAGTTAAATATTTGTCATTTTAATACTTGTAAATCAAATGTGGAAATAACAGACAAAAAAGAATAAAGATTATATTTTACAATTATGTCAATGTCATTTGAGGAATAAATGAATAAGTAACAATATGCCATTATATGTGGAATGGCTATCAACATGCAGAGGGTAATATGCAATACATTTATGGAATTACAGATTTTTAGTATAGGTAAAAATCCACACTTACACAAAAGAGGTCAACCCTACAATTTCAAAGGATGCTTGGACTGTCATTCCTATTACTATTTTTACAGAATACATTATTTAGAAAATAGTTCTCAATAACTACAATATCAATTTCTTTCAAAGTAAATTGCAATCCTAGATGCATTTGCTAGTTTTGGTCATTCAATGATTGAGAATTACAAGCATATTGTATTTCTATTTGTGAGCTGCACCATTATATTCACCATGTAATTTTTTTCTGTAATCAATTAATTACATCAGTATTATTTCATCCTTTCTCAAACTTAGAGCAGTATTTTGAGACTTATTTAGCAAATAACCTTAGAAGGAAAGTTGTGATCACACAAATGGTTCTCTCCCAAACATTTACAAATTGCATATTTAATGCATGGGGGAAATATAATCGTACCAGGTTTTTAACATTTCATTATAAGGCTGCATAAATCACATGAGCACACATTCGTAGGTCACCTTATGTACCTTTTCCCATCCAAATGCCATTCTTGAATCTGCAGCTAGATTGATGGAACTAGGGGCATCAGTTCCTAATTGCAGAATGAAACAAAATTCCCCCTGAAATAAAGCTGAAAATGAGCCTAGTTATAGCACATACCCATACAGTTATAGGCTAAATATTTGTAGGTGGTGAGTCTTTGACAGATGTACACAATGAAATTTTACTTTAATGTATGCCAATCAGTGTCTGTTTAAAGTGACAAAGTTATTTTAAGTTCTATGTACAACAAAGGATGCTTGAACATTCATATCGATTAAGCATTTTTGCATATTGTGCCCATACGGTTCTTCCACTTTCTAGGAATGGCACTAGAAAGGGAGTTTCGGCTCCCCTCTACATAGTGAATCTAGCTCATGATCAATCTTGCTTGCTCATTTGTGTACTTGCAAGGAAGGTTAGTCAATGTCCTTTCCTGAAATTCTCTCCCACATGACACCTTTAGTTTAGTTTTCTTTATTGTCATTGCACCTCATCAAACACCATCTTCAGTGCACATCATGACCATGAAAATAAACACAAGCACACATTCTTCACCCTCCACACATTGAACTGAAAACCCCCGACACTGCACCAACACTGCACTATACAGTAGAATTCAAAAGAGCTACTGCCCTGGGATAGAAGCTGTTTTTCAGCCTATTTGTCCTTGTTTTTATTATTCTGTACCATCTGCCAGATGGTAACAGTTCAAAACTATTACATTTATATTATAATATTAAATATTATATTATATTTCAGACTTATTAGTAAGATGGTATTATTATTATCAGGGCCTACTAGCAAAGAGAGCTTTACAGCTCTCTGGGCTTACCGTGGGACTAGACTCATAATATTCCGAATTTCTAGCTGATGCCTTAACCACTACAAGTGGCTATGGAGATTCTCACTCATCCAGGTCATCAAGCATCCAAGGTGCTTTTTCAACAGACAATTGGACTTTCTTGTTTTTTCTTTGAAGCCGTTTCGCTTCTCATCCAAGAAAAGCTGCTTCAGCTCTGACTGCAAGGAAAATAAACTCTTCCATTCCCCTCCATTCAGTCAGAGCTGAAGCAGCTTTTCTTGGATGAGAAGCGAAACCGCTTCAAAGAAAAACCAGAAAGTCCAGTTGCCTCTTGAAAAAGCACCTTTGGGACACTACTTTCAAGTAGCTCTCTTTGCTAGTAGGCCCTGATAACTGAAGATGGCGTTTGATGAGGTGCAATGACAATAAAGCAAACTAAAGATGTCATGTGGGAGAGAATTGCAGGAAAGGAGATTGACTAACCCTCCTTGCAAGTAAACAAATGAGCAAGCAAGATTGATCATGAGCTAGATTCACTTTGTAGAGGGGAGCCGAAACTCCCTTTCTAGTGCCATTCCTAGAAAGTGGAAGAACCGTACGGGCACAATATGCAAAAATGTTTAATCCGTACGAATGTGCCCATGTTCAAGCATCCTTTTTTGTACATAGAACTTAAAATATCTTTGTCACTTTGAACGTACACTGATTGGCATACATTAAAGTAAAATTTCATTGCATACATCTGTCAAAGACTCACCACCTACAAATATTTAGCCTATAACTAGGCTCATTTTCAGCTTTATTTCAGGGGGGATTTTGTTTCATTCTGCAATGAGTCTAGTCCCACTGTAAGCCCAAAGCTAGCCGGGTAGCCCTGGACCAGTCCCTCTCTCAGCCCCAGGAAGGAGGTTGGCAAACCACTGCTGAAATCTTCCCAAGAAAACTGCAGGGCAGGTGCCCAGGGAGTCGCCAGGAATCAACATTGACTTGAAGGCCACGATCTCGTATCTATACCCAAGAGAGCCACCCCACGACCCCGGGTCTGAGGCGTTTGTTTTGACGTGGAGGTTGTGCAGGACCCTCCGTGATTCTGTGTGTCCTGAGGAGACTAAACGCGATCCGGCTAGCCGCTAGTAGGAACGCGGCTTTACCTCCTCGTAGCCTCCGCCCGTCGGAGCCTCAGCGGGTCATCTACACCTGCCTGACGAGCGGAAAGAAAACCCAACATAGCCGGAGAGGAAGGACCCGCAACAACGACGCCACCATGCCTCGAAATTATCTCGTGCCCGTTGGCTCAAAGCGTCGCTCTCTTAGCCAATAAGAACCCTTGGCATTGAAACGTCATTGGTCAGGAAAGCACCGGCTCAGAAAGCGTCGAACGCGTCAGGTTCAGGAAAATATAGAGAAACGTATAAGAAAAGATGCAGAAAAGCGGCTTTTCCTTTGCAACTTGTAGTGTAAATTCGAAATACTTCCCAAAATGCGGTCTAGAAAATAATTATTCTCAGGAATTTTATTAACAGAGAATCATTTAGCCGTTAGTAAATTGGGGTTTTAACATGAAATAGCTTTTTTTAATAGAAATGCAGGATGTGTTTTCTTCAATTTTATTATCTCTAATTAACAGGACGGACGTTCTGGGCCTGAGGGAGATGTGGGCGTGGCTTTCGACGGAAAGGGGCGGGGAGGAGTGATTGCAGCGCGTCTGGGGCGCCTCGCGTGCCGTTCGCGTTTGGGCAGAGGGAATTGGGGAGCCGCTTCTCTGGTTCTGCGGCTTCGCAGCGCCCTTCGCCTGGCATGAGCGGCGTCTGGCGGTTTCTGCGCTTGCTAAAGCAGCGCTTTATCGGGCCAGGGAGCGAGTACGTGGGCATCGACCACTTTGGAAACAAGTATTATCGGATCCCGCAGCACAAAACTTGGGCAGGTGAGCGAGACGAGATGATCGCCCGCGGTCGGTCGTATTTGCGCTCCACTTCGTCTCTGGTTTTATCCAAAGCGGGGTTTCCTTAATCGTGGTTTACAAAAATTATCATTGGCTGGCACTCCAGAGCTGGCTAGGCAATAAACTATAGTTCGTGAATTACAATAGCCATAGCCGATATAAACTGGGCTAAAACTTTGAGAGGGGTCTCGGAGTCCTAGTGCACAACCATTTAAATATGAGGCGGCAGTGTGCTGCAGCTGCCACAAAAGCCAACACAGATCCCGGCTGCATTAACTGGGATATAATCAAGATCACGTGAAGTGTTAATACCACTTTATAAGGCCTTGGTAAGGCCACACTTGGAATACTGCGTCTGCCATAATACAAAAAAAGATGTTGAGACTCTAGAACATGGGTCTCCAACTTGGCAATTTTAAGACCTGTGGACTTCAACTCCCAGAATTCCTCAGCCAGCAAAGCTGACTGATGAATTCTGGAAGTTGAAGTCCACAAGTCTTAAAGTTGCCAAGGTTGGAGACCCTTCTTTAGAAAGAATGCAGAGAAGAGCAGCAAAGATGATTAGGGGACTGGAGGGTAAAACATATGAAGAATGGTTGTCTAGTCTGATGAATTATTATTATTACCTTTATTGTCAGAGTACAACATGTGTACAATGAGATTGGCTGAGCTTCCTTTCATGCCCCCCCCCCCCCAAACACAACTCACAGTGAAGACAGAAGTCCCTAACCCAGTCCCAATCTTACTACACAATGTGACCTTGTTGCACAATGCACCGGCCCTGCAAGTCTGTCATACTATGTTGGCATGAAGTTATTTTCTGTTCAGAAGTCTGACAGCCCATGGGTAGAAACTGTTCTTCAGCCTGTTGGTGTGGCTGGCAATGCTTCTATATCTCCTACCTGATGGTAGGAGAGTGAAGAAGTGCTGACCGGGATGTGAGTCGTCTATGAGAGTTTTCCTCATTCTTCTAAGGCAGCGAGCCCTGGCAATGTCATCTAGTTGTATCAGGGAACAACCCATGATGCTTTGTGCTGTGCTCACCACCCTCTGTAATGAAAAGGAGGACTAGCGCAGGGGTCTTAAAACTTGATAGCTTTAAGACTTGTGGACTTCAACTCCCAGAATTCCTCCTCCAGTCATGTTAGCTCAGGAATTCTGGGAGTTGAAGTCCACAAGGCTTAAACTTGCCAAGTTTGAAGACCCTTGGACTAGGGGGTGACATGATAGCAGTGTTCCAATATCTCAGGTGTTCCCACAAAACAAGTGGGAGTCAAGCTATTTTCCAAAGCACCTGAGGACAGGACAAAAAGAGTTACACAAAGGATAGTACAGATATGAAACAGGACATAGGTAACAATTTGCATTTACTGTTTTTTTCTCTATCTGCTAAGAGGCACATAAACATTGGTGCACAATTTATTGGAACGACTAAAATTATTGGAATAAGAGATGTTTATAGAGATGGATTAAAGGGAATATTGTATATAAACATGTTAGCCAATTTAAGGTATATAATTTTACAAAGTTATGATATTAGTCAATTCATTTGTTGATTTACTGTTCATTTGTTGATTATTGATTAACCACTTTTTTTTTCTCCTTCCTATCATTGCCCAATTATATAAGTTTATGGTGCTTGCCATGATTTTACTATATTGCTTTAATATTCCAAAATTGTATCTCTCATGGTAAAAAGGAAGTTAAGAATTCCAGAACTGTATATATATTGTAATCTGTGAATTGTACTTCCAAATTACTGCACAATCTGATATACTGTATACAATTTATAAATGTTAGATAAATTCATTTTTTGTAGAATAGTGGTTTTTTTCCACATTGAGCTTGTCTCCTGGTAACTGGTGATGATATGTTTCAATTTGTTCTTTAAATTTTTGTATACTGTTTGTGTCCAGAAGGAGGCAGTGTGGCTTTAGGAAGATTTATACCAGCAGCATATTTATAACCTGCATTGTGCAAAGGACACAGACTGTAGTTATTTCACAGGTTATGCTGGTAAACTTATGTGGAGAATAGATTGGGCAAAAAAGTTGATATACTATATTATTGGTTCATACTTTTTTTCTTTTTAAAGTAATTGTTCTTGTATTGTTTAAACATCACATTAAATCATAGCTGCTACAGTTCCATTTTTTGTTTACATTTTTTAATTATATGAAAAAATTGGTAGAAAGAGAAAGTCTGATATATATGATTAAACAATCCCATGTTATTTATGACAATAATATCTTTATTTCTAGTCAAATTTATTTGCCACCCATCTTGTGGTTCAGGAAACTCTTGAGCTTGTAAAATTAGAATGGTTGAGCTGAAGTAGATGTAATCCAATAATTAAACATAATAAAAGAAACCATGCATAGAGTATGATCTCAGTGACAGATCATACTCTTTCGATAGTCTGCTGGGGAAAAGTTATTGAATGTATTCCAGTAAATTACAATTTTTTGTAACTCTTATGTCACTACAGATTTTCTTCCTGTAATTTATCCCTGTTTTTCATATATGTGAAAGTAAGGAATGTTGAGTAAACATTAGGGAGAATGTAGATTAAGGAATCGGGAATGCTAAGCCAAAGAAATTAAAGGCCTGAGATGGTTGGGGAGGGGGGCAAGAGAAGGAACATAGGTAGATCTAATTTATACCAATACTGTTCACTATATTTATCATTTTCTCCTTGGAAACAATATTGGCTTCTACCATATCAGTACACCGATTCATACATTATCTTTTCTTTTTAGCCCTAACTTAACCTCTCTTAATATATAACTGTTATACAGATCATTCACTTTTGTACTCAATCCATATTAATTAATCAAACATTTATTCTTCTTTTACTGTACACAGAATTCTAAACGCACCTGGAGCCACTTAGGTGAGATGGTCTAAAAGTATGAAGGATCAATAAACTCTATTTCATAGCATCCTGATATAATCAACTCTCATGTGCATATGTCAAAATGAACAGAAACAAATTCTCATAGCATAATTATTTCCACTTTGTTTGATAAACTGTCTCTTCAGCAGACCATGTATGTTGACTATCTACCATAATTTTTTTTAACATTTTTTCATCTTTAGTAAGCATTTGTCTAATAAATGGATGTATAGAGCCTCTCAACTCAATGTGACTTTTGGTGGTGTACAAGAGGAGAATACAAAAGAAAAATACCATACAATATTAAAATATATATAACATATATAATGGTAACCAAGCAGGATAATTAGAATCAAATGGGGATATACAGGCCTGCAGAAAAAGATTTTAACAAAAAACTGTTAACTGTTAGTTTTTCTAAAGGCATACAGAGTTTCGGCCCATCATATCTGAGGGCCAGGGACAAAGTTTGTTCCTTCATAGGTACCAAAGCAAGATGTCAAAGGTTAAGGCACTCAAATTTGTTTACTTGCTTTGTTTTTTCCTCCATTGCATTATTTGCAATTTCTCACTGTATTTCTTCCTGTCAAACTCAATTACTTTGGTCTACATTACTTGGAATTTCATTTCTTTAGCTCTTATGGCACAGTAACTTTACTCCAATATTTGCTACAAATATCTCCTTCAGGCTGATATCTTTCACTTCTTTTCATTCACTCCCATTTTTTTCCCAAGATCCACTCTTATCACTACCAAGTAATGATCTGACTCACAATCACAGTCTTTCATCATTCATATTTTCATCACCATTTTTCTCAGTGCTTCATCACGAGCAATCAAACCAATCTTGCTTTTAAGTTTATATTTATTTCTTTGTTGTATTTATATCTGAATAGATTTATGCTTGATATTGACCTTTTTCTAAACATTCATCTGTAACCATTGAGTTGTTTTCGGTGGGTTTTTTTTTTTGAGTGTCTGATCCAGACATTTTTTCTATTCGCTTTTTCTTGTTCTTACATATCTATTCTTGTCAGTAAATTGGGAAAAATATTTCCTTGAATAATATCCATTCGGACATTGCACAATTTTTCTTAAATCTAATCTCTAATCTTTCTTTTGTCACAATTTGTGTTTATTATTATGGTTGGTTGCATAGTTAGCCAAAATGTTTAGATTGGATTGGGCATTTTTATTATTGCTGTTGTTATTACTATTTTATTGTTACTATTCATATAGTATATACAGTAGTATAATAGTATTATTACTATTGTTTCTATTATTACTATTTTATTATTATTACTATTTGTATTCACTTTGCTTTCTCTCGTCACAGTTGTTGTACTTCTATCTGTTGGTCTTTGTGTTTTGTGATTTTTTTTTGCAGTTCTTTCTGTTTTGCTGTTTCCATGTACTGCAATATCCACTATCCAGCCTTTTTTGTCTTTCTTGTCAACTATTGTTAAATCTAGTATATATGGCAGGTCCTTGTCTGTTTGAATTCTAGAACACTTTAGCTTCTTCATTTTCTGTTCCTTGATCTAATTTGTGGTCTTTTCAATTCTTTTTATTTCTTGCAGATATTCCAATGATGATAATTTTAAAAAAAAAATTATTTTAATGCCTAATTCCCAATGATCTACTTATAACAGCTCATTCAAGTTATAACAGCACTGAAAAAGTTACTTAGGACTGTTTTTCACACTTACAACTGTTGCAGCATCCCCAGGATCACATGATCAAAATTCAGACCATCAGGGCAGCTGATTTGTGTTTATGAAGGTAGCAGTGTCCCAAGATCATGTGAGCACCTTTTGCAACCTTCTGACAAGCAAAGTTAATAGGGAAGCCAAATTCACCTCACAACCGTGTTACTACAGTAACTTAATAACTACAGTAATTTACTTAACAACTGTGGCAAGATGGGGCAGAAGTCACTTAACAGAAATTCATTATTTCTGACATTGATTTCTTTTTATTCATGATTAAACAGGCATAATTCATTGAGTTCTGTTATATCCTTCTCCACTGCTACACAACATATTATGTCATTATATTTGCTCTTCTTAGATTCCGGGACATAGTA